ATTCTATGGCTAGAAATTGGCCTCAATGATTTGGGATCGAGGGGGATTATCCCTCTTTATCCTGCCTCATCTCGTGTAGGCCTGGACATCCTTCGTAGGTGGGCCCCATCCGTCGTCTACCCCGACCGCAAATGCGGCCGGTGTAGGCGCTTTGTGGGACCTCCTTTTGTCCTGGCTGGGCCCCGCCGGCTAGGGCCCTTTCTTCTGGCGCTCTTCTTGCTTCGCCGGCTCGTCTGTGTAAACCCCGGGGGTAGTGTCATGTTTATGTGTGGTATGGTTGGGTAGGGTAGTGCGGCTATGCAGCCTGGGATGCGCTTTGCTAAGGTGGCCCTTAGGCTAGCGCGGGAGGGGAGGGGTAAGCAGGGTATGGGGGGTGTCTATGTGTGTGTGTGTGTGTCGTTGTCTTCGTTCCTTGATCCTGGCTGTCTCTGAAACAGAAAAGGTTAGCGGGCAGGGGGGGGGGGGTAAAAATTTCATCAATTACCGATGTACTTCATTACCAAAGACTACGCAGAAAACCCGTGAATAGATCTTTTACAGAAAAAAGAACAAGACATAGCCGAAAAAAAGAAGGTTAAAACATGATTGGGTACTTAGGTTATAAAGTTAAAAAAAATATTACAAATTGAATTTCGCAATTCTGACCTCGAATCCGTGATCAGCGACCCCAAAAACCCCTGTATCCCAGATTTGGCACGAATCTGTTATTTTTTGAAAATTCGTGATATATGATCTTAATTGATCCGTTTTTTTTGAGGTTAGAAAGACTCAACTCTGACCGCGAATTCATGTTAGGCGGGATTTCAACCGTATAAGTGAACATTTGAATATAGAAATTTTTTTTTTTGTACTTTTCCTAGCACTTTTTCGACAATTTTTGCTATTTTTTACCTGTTTTATGAGGTTAGGAAATTCCTGTGATGAAAAATACTACGTATAACGTATGTCGTATGAAAAGTAGATAACTTTTTTTTGTGTGGCTTTGTTATTTTAAGTTATTTTTGTCTCAACATAAAATTGGTCTGTATCTGCTTTAATGGTCTAATTGTAAGAGATACATGAAAAACAAATTGGATGACCCATTCCAAAAGGCTATTTCGTACAATGTTACAAACATCCCACTTCTGATTGTGATTTAGGTACTCCAATTAAAACAACGTTGTATTTGGTTTTTTCTTTTATTTTTCCTGCCTGATTAAAATACATGATACAAGGATTCATATAAAAAGCATAGTTCAAGGAAAGGTCCCAAGCAAGCCGATTTTCAAAATTAATTTTCTCATATCTGTAAAGCTGTATAAAAAAACTATTATCGTCTAATTAACGTACAGCATAACATAATGCGTATAGTTGCAGTAAACTGAATGACATAACTTGAGTAGAAATTATGATCTGGATATGAGAAAATTAATTAGCAAAATCTTTACATCTAAAGCAAATTTTTTCTGTTTGGTATTTGATAAATGTAAGATATGTAAAGAAAGTTCTACACTTCGTCAATATATTGTAAATGTAAATATACAACAATACAAAAATAGACAATCCTAATATTATCATAAGTAATACTGTTGTGCAATTTTCTATAACCTATATAAAAGTTGCACTAAAATTACAAATACACCACTGACCGTCTCTTTCATTAATCAAAATTTATTTTAACCACTCCTAAATCTGAATTAATGTGTATATTATCATATTATATTTAAATCCTTGAGTATAGAGAACGAATAGGAGAGTTCTTCCTAATGCACATCATTGCACACAATTTTAGGGAGCTTAGGCCACAGATATCTCGGAGGCATCACGGCAGATGATGTTGGATTTAACTTTCATTAGACGGAACAACTCCTGTGTTCTATATACTTGGATTAAAATTGTCACCTATTTGATTTAATTAACAATAGGCAGCAAAAGTTTTAGCTCCCAATGAAAAACACTTTTAAAGTAATGGTTCAACTTCTCCCTCTACGCGATATACGAGGCATATCCGCAAAGTAAGAGACTATGATGTTCTGTGATTTTTGTTTTTGAAATAATTGGCAACACTGCATTCAAGGTGTTGGGATCATAGCTCGCGCTCATTTGTCTGTCAGTTGAGAACTGTTGTTGTAGTGGCGTGTTAAAATGAGTGCCGCTATTTCGAATTCATCCCTCGGCTCACAATGTGCATTGAGGTTGAGGGCGACTTCATCGAAAATAGTGCGTGATGTACCTTTCTGAATATGTAAATTTTTCATAAATACATCGCCGTTTTGATTTTAAAAAAATTGAGTACTCTTACTTTGTGGATATGCCGCTTATATAAGCATACACTCGATGGTTTTGCTGTAATGCCAAGTAGTATCTATTTCTGCTAAAATAACACAGCCGCATCGCACACAAAAAAAATTGTCTACTTTTCATGCGACATGTTATCTGTAGTATTTTTGCTTCCCGATCACGAATCCGGTGTCAGAATTGAGCTATCACATCACAGGAATTTCCTAACCTCAAAAAACGGGTCAAAAATAGCAAAAATTCACGAAAAAGTGCTAGGAAAAACACATTTTTTTTTGTCTATATTCAAATGTTCATTTGACCGGGGTTAAGACCCCGCCGAACGTGAATCCGAGGTCAGAATTGATGGTTCTTTTTCTAACCTCAAAAAAACGGGCCAATTAAGGTCAGATATCACGAATTTTCAAAAAATAACATTCGCGCCAAATTTGGTATATGGGGGGTTTTCGGCGTGCTGATCACGGATTCGAAATCAATTATGCAAAATTCAAGATGGCGGATTCAAGATGGCCGACTAAATTTTCAAAAAAAACAGATTCGCTCCAAATTTGGTATACGGGGGTTTTCGGGGTCGCTGATTACGTATTCGAGGTCAAAATTGCGAAATTCATTTTGTTAAAATTTATAACCTGAGTACCCAATCATATTTTAACCTTCTTTCTTTAATCTATATCTTGTTATTTTTTCTGTAAAAGATCTTTTCACGGGTATTCTGCGTAATGCGTAAACTCAGGAAATAAAGTACATAGGTAATTGATTAAATTTTTAAAAACGAATTTTGTAAATCTGACCTCGAATTCGTGATCAGCGACCCCGAAAACTGCCTTATACCAAATTTGGCGCGAATGTTATTTTTTGAAAATTTGGTCGGCCATCTTGGATCCGCCATGTTGAATTTTGCAAAATTGACCTCGGATCCGTGATCAGCGACCCCGGAAAGCCCCGCATACCCAATTTGATTGATCTTAATTGACCCGTTTTTTTGAGGTTAGAAAAAGAACCATCAATTCTAATCGTAGATTCACGTTCGGTGGGGGTAATAACCATATAAATGAACATTTGAATACAGAAAACATTTTTTTTTTATTTTTCCTAGCACTTTTTCGTGAATCTTTGTATTTTTGATCTGTTTTTTGAGGTTAGGAAATTCCTGTGATGTGTGCTCAATTCTGACACCGGATTCGTGATCAGGAGGCAAAAATACTACGGATAACATAAGTCGCATGAAAAGTACAGACTTTTTTTTGTGTGGCTGTGTATTCGAAGTTATTCACTATCGACCAGATACATTGGACTATTAAATACGCGTAAATGATGTCTTATTAAATTATTTAGTATTTTAATATTACTCCGTCCCAGCGTAAATTGGAAAAAGCTACAATACATTTATTAATTTGAAAGAAGTAGCTCGAAAAATATTTTTAAATTTCTGCATCGGTAGCGGCCCGTATCAACGCGTCGAATACACCAACGACAGCAACCGTTGCAAACGTTCAAACGCTCACTAGTTGATTCCTTTTTTTTATTAGAAATTAAAAATAAGTAGAAGGGTTAAAATGCATTTTGGTCAGAGAAACAGACCGCAAAATAGTGATGTTTCACGATTCCCTTATAAGAAACCAGGAAATAAAAAAATAAAACTCTTCACACAAGATATTTTTGATTTGCAATTTGCCTTATGTACAATTCATTAATTGTCGCTAATTTCACCGTTAAAGATTTAATTGTTAAAAGAACTTAAGCTATGAAGAGAAATATTTTGATTTAGCGAACAGGTAATGTTTCGATAGAGATATATATATACAAGAGAACTGTTACCAAGTCACAATTCTCGACTAACCGAAATAATGTGATTCACAAATTAAAATACTGCACTTATGGTATCAATTGCACATTGAACTTCAACTAAGATGCAAGTCATTTAACTTCGCTTACGCCAAAGCCCTAAATATTTTGATTAGCAAGTACAAGTCTCGCCTCTAGGGCTTCTAGGAATGTCACCTCCCCATTTTTGGGGTCTTAAAATTGCTTTGCTTAAATGTTTATGGGAATGGGCCGTTTCATATTTCACTTCCACAGACAAATATTGTCAATTCTTACATAAGTTGTATTTTACAAAACTTCATTCTTTCTACACATTCTCCCGCAATTAGACCTCTAAAAAATTGCCATCTCATACAGCAACTTGCTTTTTAATATAATTAGTATTCATTTAATGGGAAAACGAATATATAATTTTGAACTTAACGATCCGGCTCGAAGGTCTGCTTTCCATTCACCACGTACATTTGTTGGTCCTTCGAACCGGATCGTTAATTTCAAAACAATCATTTTCCAATTAAACGAATACTAAACAATTATATTTTAAGTAATTATGAGCAACAGAAATTCGCTTTAACATTTTTGTGCGCACTTGGCATATTAAGTTTGATTTACGCCTAAGCTAATTTTTTCGTTGCTTAAGCTAGATTGCGTTTTCAGATGCCTTAGATGCTTGCGAAAATTTATTTGAATGATTCCATGCTTAAGGTATTTAGATAATGTTAAATATACCTAACCCCAAAAAAAAAAAAACACCAATATAAAGTTAACGAAAAAAAATAAAGGTAATTAAATCTAAACTGTATTATCACATTCGAATAAAAATCTTCAAAAACACGTTTCGTGTAAAAAAATATTTGGTAACATTACATAAACTTAATAATAAAGATGTAATACTAAACTTAATAAATAAAATCGTAAAATATATATAATAATATATATAAAAATTAATATACAAGTAAAAATCTAAGAAAAAAAAAAGGGGGAAAAGTTATACCTTATCGCTAACTATCCTCCCTTGTAGGTTTCTAACTTGCTCTTCTAGCTCTCTGACGCGCTGCTCACTGTTGTGCAGCTGCTTCTTTAATTTTCTGATCTCTTCTGATTGCGAGTGATACGCTCGCCGCAACTGAAAAAAAAAAAAAAATTTAAAAAAATAAATTACGTTTTTTATATCACTAACTCATACTTTCACTTAAAATGCAGATATGTCATATGCGATCTATCGCGACTAAATTTCTCGGAATACCAAATTTGGCGTGAATGTTATTTTTTGAAAATTTGGTCGGCCATCTTGGATCCGCCATCTTCAATTTTACAAAATTGACTTCGGATCCGTGATCAGTGACCCCGAAAACTCCCGTATACAAAATTTGGCACGAATCTGTTATTTTTTTTAAATTCGTGATATCTGACCTTAATTGACCTTTTTTTGAGGTTAGACAAAAAAACACCATTCTGACCGCGGATTCACGTTCAACGGGGTCTTAACCATATAAATGGACATTTGAATATAGAAAAAATAATGTTGTATTTTTCCTAGTACTTTTTCGTGAATTTTTGCTATTTTTAACCTGTTTTTTGAGGTTAGGAAATTCCTGTGATGTGATAGCTCAATTCTGACACCTGATTCGTGATGAGGAGGCAAAAATACTACGGATAACATTTGTCGCATGAAAAGTAGACAATTTTTTTTTGTGGCTGTGATTAATGACTAGCATTTGGAGAGAACAAGTTACTTACATCATTTTCCGTCAAAATGTTGTCCCCGATGCTGTTGATTTCCTTGATCAAAGGAATATCCTTATTGTTAACCCCGTGACTGAACCTCTGTTGCAGCTGTTGGAACTTCGTCGTTTGATTGTTCGTGGTTTTCTGACTCTTTTCTGTGATCATATCCTTGGGCCTGTAGTCCGGAATCGTTTCGGAGGACAAAAACGCGAACTTCCTCTTGTTATTGTCCACGGAGGCAGGTTCTTGTACCTTCAAATGGCGTTGCTTGATGGACGTTATGTTAAGAGCGGTATTCTCGTCTACAAGAAGAATACACCTTAGTATTACCCCCTAGTCTTGATTATCAATATACAATATATAGATATATTATAAAACTTTGATTGATGACATAAGGAGCATCAGCTTCTTGCACCTGCGGAAATTACGCGAACAGAATATGACAGACTACAAGTGTCAAGACTATTTAAACGTGGTTGCTAGCTAAAACGAAATTTGAAGGCAAAAACAATCACGTGGATTGCCAAAATTACGTCAATACAGTCGTACAATTCATCTTGTAACAGAAATTATTATATGAAGATAAATACCGTCCAGTGACGTCACTAGACGATGACGCGTCGGTCGTGGGGCTTGATACTATAAGAAGCAATGATCTTACCCATTTTAAGAGACATAAGTAAAGGCATGGCGTTGACCCCCTTGATCCATTCCTGAGCGGAAAGGGCTGGTCTCGCAGAGGCAGTGTCGGGATACAAGTCTTCGTGGAATTGGTCGGACCGACGGGGTACGATCATGCTTATGGGCTCGCACAGCCCCTTGGTCGCGTGGAGCTTGTAGAAACGGAACACCTCGCAGTGGGCGGTGTTTAAAGCACGTTTTGGCATGAAACCCAGTCCCCTCTGTGGGTTTCCCGAGAGGAACTCGTTGAGGAAATGGATGTAGGGCGTTTCGTCCGTTATCTCGTAATACCTGATGTTCCCGTCGCCTTTCCCAGCCAAGAAGACGATGTTGGTGTCGGGGTCGTAGAACGGGAAGACGATGCCCGATGAACTGTCGATGGTGTTGATGAAGAGGGGCTGGGAGAGATCGTTTTTGTCCCAGATCGCGTATTGTCGGTCGGAATGTCGGGAGAAGCCTGTGGTCAATATGCGGCCGGTAGATCCTAGGAAAACCGCCTTGCTGGCTTTGGACCCAGCATGGCACATGCCTTCCTGGGAATCAAAACAAAGATTATACGTTTTTTGACAGTGACTTTGCTTAAGGTTAAACCCTCAGACCACAAATTTAGATCGACACTATAAAATGAAAGCAGATTGAAAAATATGAGACCAGTATTTTTTCTTTTTCCAAAGTCAACATTAAATGTAGTAGTTTTTAGAATATTTTAGTCTATTTCAATCCTTCCTCAAAAATATACGTATTTTTTCAGAAATTAACATGTTTTTTAAGGCACTCTAATTACTTTTTAAAGTCAAAAAATAGTCGAGATTATTAAACTGCGTTTAAACTCTCGTCTACGCCGTTACTGGGCCGTACGTGCGCGCTTATCACTCTTGTCAGTTATTAGTTTCTTAAACCAAATATATAAAACTAACGGAGTGGTAGAATATGACCCCCATTTAAAGTCACGCCCTGTACATCAATGCTATTGAGTATTGAGCGATAAGATGTTTGTTTCTTATTTTTTAATGCTTACCGATTTTATTATACCGCTTCGCGGTTCGATGACTCGCAACTTCTTGTCTTTGCAAGTTGTCGCGATCAGACTGCCATCTCTGTTGAGCGACATGGAATGGATGGCGTCTTTATGGCAATCTATGACGTTTACCGCTTCCCCTTTTTCGATGTCCCAAACGATGACCTAAATAGTGAACACGAAATGAAGAAAAAGATATAAAAACAAACAAAAAGCTCAATAAAAACTTATTTAAATGAAGAAAAAATTGTTATTTATCCAAAATCCACGTAAGTCCGATACAATCGACGCCCTTGGAGAAATGTCTTGGACATTTTTCTGTCAAAACAATGGAAATCGTTCATTATCTCGAGCATGCAAATTATGTCATATAATAAAAATACCCAGTTCGGCAGCAGTAATGGCCTATTTCTTTCATACATTGTGAATAAACGTGGTACATTTATAAACATGGAATTATGAATTGAAATATTACAGTTTCAAATGGCAATTAGACAAAGCATATAAGGCATTTAGTGGATATAAGCTGTTTTTAAAAAGAAAATACATATTCCTCGTTGATATCTGCTATAATTTAGAGATAACCTGCATCAATTAGGTAGTTAGCATTATAATCCTCGCTATTAAAAAATTATTACTACATAAAAGCATAAACAGCCAATAAAAGTACATTTCGAAAAAGTAACAAGTTAAATAAACATTTAATTGACGCGGCAGCAATTTGCAATAAAAACATACTGCGCCCGTGAAGAATCGGAAAAAGTAAAGCGACACCGAAGCGAAAGTGAAAACTCGAGAAAGCCGAAGTTGTATTAATATAATTAATGACCATTAGCGGGCAGCCGTTGATTCCGATAGAAATCGGAAACGGCCAAATCGAGAGCGCAAAAAAACTCACCAGGTGGTCGAATCCGGCGCTGAACAAGATGTTCTCGGCCGTCGGATGCCACTCTATGTACGCCACGCGTCTCTTGTGGCCCTGGAGCTCCACCAGCCAATCCGTGAGATGGACGGACAGGCCTTCGTCGGGAATGTGCCATAATTTAATCTACGAAAGGAGAAGAATAACGATATTATATAAAAATAAATGTAAGCCGACCCTGTGCATCTTGTGCACATGCAGGCCAGAATTTGAAGCAAATATCACTTATTTTCAATAAGCAATATGTTCCTCTATTTTCAGGATTTCAAAGTGAAATCACCCTATATATCGGCTCGCGTTTCTGAACTTTTCTTGTTAATTTGCAACGTAAAATCCACCATTATCTGACCTAGCATTTGAGTTGTACCTTGTGTCATTTGGTTTTCAGAAATTATTATCAGTCTGAGTAAACAATTATTACCAAACAAAACAATGTTCTCCTTGGTATTAAAAGAAATCAGAGAAGTGCGACACATTTTAAAACAATATTTGTCCAAGATTACCCGGATAATTTTTAAAAACATAAGTTTCTGAGATTTTGACACGAAGATAACAAATCATTTCCTGTTTTTTTTTATTAGTGTTTGTTTTATCAACTTTTGAAGTGCAATGTACACTGAATTTAAGAAAAATCCAAAGAGAAATTGTATTATTCTAGGTTGCACTAGATAGAAAGCAAAAAATTTGTCAAGGAAAGAGCAAGTGCAAATAGAGACTATAAAAAAAATGTCGACAATATATAAGAGCTTTTCATCTTCTTTTTTTCAATATTTAACATTTTTGACGAAAGAAAACTGAATTTGCGAAAAAAATTCATATTCAATTAAAAAAAATGAATAAGAGATGCAAATTTTGTCCGTTAATTGATCTTTACCAATAACTGCATTATCAGTCATTCGAATCAATGAAAGAAGAACCTCAGCGGTTTGAACTGTTGAGGGTTTCTTTGGAATACTTTGAGGATAAAAAATCAAAAACATACTTAGTCTATTCATTATTAGTTATCAAAATTCAAAATTCTTAAATGCTCAATACCAAAAAGGTCATTTTCGCTTTCAATGACGATAACTCAGCGAGAAATCGTCGTACAAAGCTCCAGAACAGCTCAAATTGAACAGCCTGAATCAAGAAGTGACATTTGGAATTGCCAGAAACATTATTAAAGTCTATGACCCAAAAATGTTGAAAAATGTTTTCCGCTGGCTTTATTATCACTACATATTATAAAACAAAGTCCTCCGCCGCGTCTGTCTGTCTGTCTGTTCGCGATAAACTAAAAAACTACTGCACCGATTTTCATGGTGTTTTCACAAATGGATATAGAGTGGTTCTCGAGAAAGGTTTTAGTATATAATTTGTTAAGTTTTTGTATACATTAACGATATTTGTCGGAGGTGTCGGAAAAAAATAAGCCATCTGGAAGCTTTCAACGAAAACGCTGCCTAAACCCTTTTGAGATATAACAAAATAATGTATGGTGGAATTGTGTATCTTATATAGGTCTACAGAAAAGTCAGCGATGGCATATGTCTATCTCTTAAGTATAACATACTATATCCATTTTAATATTTTAAAAAATGGGCAATTATAAAGCGGTAATTGGAAAGCTATTTACACAAATACGTTATTAATCCTTATCATTTTAAATATGTTAGTTGGCTTGAGCATTTCATGAAGATAATTTTTTCCCTTTACACCATGCAAATTAAATGAATACCTTAGGAGATATAGCAAAATCAAAATAATGCGCAACGAAATTAATTTCGTGTCGCCGTGATTCGACCGGGCCGCGCGGGCGCCCCGTGACCCCGCGCCTCGCGTCCGAGCCGGGGGGGTCCGAAAGTTTATGTAGTGTATCAATGTATGGTGGAATTGTGTATCTTATATATGCCTACAGAAAAGTCCGCGATGGCATATGTCTATATGTTAAAGATAACATACTACCTATATCCATTTTAATACTTTAAAAAATTGGCAATTATAAAGCGGTAATGTAAAAGCTATTTACACAAATACGGTATTAATCCTTATCATTTTAAATAAGTTAGAGGCTTTAAGCATTTCATGCACATTATTTTACTCTTTTACACCATATAATTTAAATGAATATCTTAGGAGTAATCGCAAAAAAATTACGGACGCGAGAATAAAATTCAAGCGCCTCGCTTCGCTTGATGCGATCGCCGACCCTCCCCCCGCACCGTCTTGCCTACTGTTTAGCTAATAAGCCGAACGATAACGCGCGCGTGATCCTTTAATAAACTGACTTGGAGCGAATGGAGGTGACGACTGACGACTGTGTTTTCTTTCTGGGTGTTGTTGGAAAGTTATAATTGCGTTCGATATTTTAAGGTCACATTTTTGTTTTGTATTTGTTGTCTTTAGGTAGTCGGAACATACATAGATACTTGCAAACATACTTTTATTTCATTGAGTTTTAATAATTTGTTTGTTTTTTTCTTATTGTGAATCATTTAAAACTTCATAGTCGCATTTTTGTTTCGTGTTTGTTTTCTTTAGGTAGTTAGATACCTAACTACTTACTTATTAATTAAAATTGATAGTCCTGAACATAGGTACTTTAATTTAATTCGTTTTGTTTTCACATTGTTGGTAGTTACCTATATTGTTTTAAATTTAAAGGTTTTGCATTTTTAGTTTTGAGTTCGTTTGTTGTCTTTAGGTATATAGATATATCGTGAATTATTTTAAAATTAATATTAGGGTCGCATTAGATGAAAGATGATTGATTTTTTGTTTGTTACGATTTAACTCAAAAACTACTCAACCAATTTTACCGAAAGCTACATCTCCTCGGAGTAACATAGGCTATTTTATATTTGCCCGTGCGAAACCGGGACGGGTTGCTAGTGATTTCGTAAAAGTGATCAAATATAAAAAATTTTTGCTTATTTTTTTATTGTTCTCCGCCAAATTACAGCCTTTTGAAAAATCACCCAAAAATCAATGTCACGTTTTTACACTAGACCCTACTCTGTACTCACTGTGCAGTCATCGGAGCAAGACGCTATAATGTTGTCGTTGAAGGGGTTCCACTTGATGTCTAAAATCGGACCGGAATGCCCCGTCACCTTACTGGCGTTGAAGTCCAACCTTCCGGTCTGAAAACAAAATATTTATTTCTACAGTCGCCGAACGGAGCATTTTCTTCGGTAGCGCTTACACAATTTACGGGAATCACGATGAAGGCACCACCCCCGGCCACCTCGGTGACGATGGCCAGGAACTTGGGGTTGACCGCGCAGAACTGGGAGTCGTGCGCGTTCTTCGTTATGGGGATGTTGTCGTAGCATTTCTCTCTCTTGGCGGGTTCGCCGTAGACGTGGCGGAACTTCGAGCTCCGCACACCGCGGAACCATAGCTGAAATTGAGAATACGTTACAAAAAAACAACAACAAACAATGGAATAAAAAAAAACAGAAAAAAATGCTCAGATATACGATAAAAAATGGTAGAAAGGGTACATTTCTTCACAAGTACTTCATAAAGAAAGAGGAAAGGGAGGACTGTTGGCAGTCATCTCGTCCGGGTGAATTGGCGGGTAAATTTTCGAGGCTTCAGCGAAATTTCTATAAAAATAACATAAAATATCACTTTCGATAAGATTGTGGATAGTAAAAGTCCAAACTTTCACTAGCCAGTATTAAATTCTTGTTTTAGGTTATTAGAAAATTAAACATGAAGATCACTAAATTAATTTAAAAAATTTGGGAGCGGGATCATCACAGACTCAAAACAAAATCGTGGAGAGATTTACACAAAGCGGCTCAGTTCACTTTTATTTCCTCAATGATGGCAACATTACGCACTGACCATTATTCCTAAAAGACAAGTGACAGTATTATAAAATAAGTTCCCTTTCGGGGACACCGATATCAAAACTGTTACAGTTACTTTGGATACTTATTTACATATTTACCCACAAATAAAGAGGCTTTTAATTAACGAACTAACTTCGGTTTCTTGACTATCCCACATAGTTAAACAGCGTGTATCTATTTCTTAACGAACATGCAATGCCGCACGAACAATATCCCACTAGCGAAATTAAAACATCACTGATCGCTTAACATAGATAAAATTCCAGTGAGAACCATTGAAATTGGTGATGTCTCATCGGAGATTAGATAGCTACCGTCAGAGCTCTTAATAATTAATTAAAATTTTACGATTACGTTATTAATACATAAGTTATTAACATCGTGAGCAAGAAAATTTATTGACGATAATACTACAGTAACAGGGCAAATAAAAAAACTTTCCTAGCTGGATGGAGCCATTTGCGCTTGGCGTACTATTTCCTAGCTGATACAGGGTGGATTAGAAGTGAAACAAAATAAAAAATTTACCGTGTTTACTGAAGCATTCAAAGTTAGGGATTTTCATTCTATTAAATTGGTAATTCTGTGTTACGCTGCTAAGTTGGCAGCGCGAGCTTCGGCCTATAGTAGTGGCGATAATTCAAATTAAATTATTTTGTCAATTGTAAATTGCAAAGTCTCTTAAATCTTGGAGAATGTAAAGATACACCCGGTATAGTATCAGTAATTCATTATTAGATTATATTAATTCCCATTGCAAAATTGAAATGCGTATAATGAAAACTCTCATCCTCTATATTACGTTATATGTACAGAAACGAATTTGAAATTATCTTCAATCATATTATGTCGAAATTAAAGTGAAATTCGTTTATAATATGTGTTGTTAGTATCAATTTTTAATCAGAGTGACACACTATCCTATCGATTCTGCTAATGAGACACTATTTCAAAACAGTAGTTTTGATTATATTACAAAATATTATACTGAGGCTATTACGACTAAAGTATTGAACTATTTAAACGATAAAGTGGTGTGGTTTGTGGTCTAATTGACGGTGGTACAGTTAAATAATTCGGTATATGCGACCAAAACAAGTATTAATGATTCATTTTTTCTATTTAAGGTAAAATATAGGTTTTCCTTAATTCTCGACGAGATAAGCAACAATAAAATAAACACGTTTATCTAAAAAAAACAAATGATTAAGAGCGAAATGTCTGAATCCATTTCAAAAAGTAATTTTTTGGTTAAAATCGAATGCTTCATACTTAACATAAATGTATTAACTTTACAATAACCACATTTAATTCACCACTAATAACATTTTGTGGTTGCATAATTGTTATACAGGGTGTTAGGAGTTTAACTGCCTTAATTTTAACAGACGATAGAATACATTAAAATAAACAAATAAACCTTATATGACATGGGTCCTAAACTCAACCATTCTTGAGAAAAAAATTATCAAAATCTCCAATTTGATGAACAAAAGTTCGATTCATTAAGGAATATTGACATAACTGCGTGCATAGAATACCATAAAATACAACGTTTATCACTTTTTTGAACTTCTTTTTGCTTAATTCTGAAAAATACTTAACGTTGTAATAAAAAAATTCGATAAAATTCATATCGAGCAATGTGACAACAGCGCGGCGGTTAACACGAGTTACTAAACTGTCCAGCAATACGCAATTCAATTGGTATCTGGAATTGGATCGTGTCTGAGTGTTTTTTGCATACCACTATTTCCTTTTCTTGAGGCGTTTTCCAGCGAGTGCACGAAAATTGTATTCGAAGGTGTCGTGCTTGCATCGAAAATGGTGGTGGACATTTTGACATGTAATTTGTTTTGTACTTGTGCGTTTAAACTGAATTTTGCTTTTTGGTAAGTGCCTAAATTATTTTTAATACGTATGATTATTTAGATTATTTAGACATTTTATTTTATCTATTTAAAAACTGGAAAACAATTGCCTTGAAATTTACTAAATGTTTCACAATAATAGTTGTTTACTACATTTTTGCCGTAGGACAAGTCTGCCGCGTGCACACGTGCATCAGCGCTGTTGTCACGTTGTGATGAAACTCCCCAATACTAATACTCGCTGTATTTTGAAAACTGTTAACCTTACGCCCCTGTAATATACAACTTTTTTGTTCATTTATGATTACTCTATCCCATGCTGAAGTAATGGCAGTCAATCTTCTTACACCCCGTATTTACAATAGCCAACTTTGAATAAAAATTGAATTAATTTTAAAACCCTGTAAATTTTTAGCTTATAACCTAAAACAACAGTAGTAATAAAAATTACATTCTGTCATGTGATCAAGAACGAACTGTGACGTCATTTAGTGCGACAGGGAACACGACCCGTTCTTTGGCCGCATGCAATATTTATATGAAAAATCTGGGATAAGACAAATTAAACTTCTAATTGTTGCTATTTTTGTTTGATCACAAAATTAATTCACATTTTAATTTTTAATAGATTTTTAAATGTCAGCAAAGCCATGAATAAACAAAGCTTTCTCAACTTTCCACATGAAACAAACAGAAATATCCTTTTTAAAACGGAGTAAGGGGAATATAATGTATTGTAACAACGTACATGTATTTTTAAATGTGAAAATCCAAAGACTGCTGCAATTTTTCGCACTTCCAACCCTTGTAACTCGTAAAACACACACTGACCCTATTTTTAGACGGAAGTATTCACAAAATCAATACTTGGCAATACTCAAAGTAGTGGAACGCAACTACATAATCGATAAACAAATTAGGTTACTTTAAGCTTCATGTGACATCATCCTTATTTAAAAAAACTTTTAAACACGAGTTAACAAAATTATTAAAGTACTCTGATTAGTAGGAAGGCCATAAAAGTGGGTTAAGGGGGTTAGAATTACCTTTGACATGGTACGATCACGATTTAAAATCTAATCGGTGACCTCATAACTGCAGCGGGAAAAATGACGCTTTCGCCAAGTTTAATGTCGTCGCATCGTGACAAGTAATCGAAGGTTGTCGCACCGATGGCAAACAAACGTACATAAACAAGAATTAACGTTGCAGCGGGCGAGATCAAACACCGACTCGTAAAAATGTCGCGCCTTTCACTTTTTTTTTATCTTATCGAGTTATCACACGTACAGACACAACGCTGTTGGGTTACTTTACTCTCCACACGTAGAATTTTGTAGCGCGAATAAGGAGAAAATTATATTTTAAATTACGTTCCTACGCATACATCATACGAGATGAGTCAGCGGTCGTCAAATTTTTACTACTCTTGTACATAAATTTACGGCTTGGGGTCAAGCTCTTTTAAGCATGATCTACATTCGTACGAATTTTATGTAAAATACAGCGGAACAAAATTCATACTATTTTTCCAGTTGAATTTTAAAAAAATCGCTGAAACATTAGTAAACAGAAATTGTTACTTTTCTGCAATATTTTCTAGTTTTGTTTAACCACGATTACCAGAACTATGACATTACCGAAACAAACTCAAGAATTTAAAAACATAGATCTTTAGATACTTTACGACGTGTTTTATTAAAATGCGGTTTTAAACATAAAAAACGTGACAATCGTATGATAATTATGGAATCACGACGTATAGTCGCACTTCGGGAAGATTATTTATAAAAAAAAATAGAGAATATCGTCAACTAAATAGGAATATAGCTCGGAATATAGTATATCCAGACGAGACAGGGCAAAATGTTATGTTTACGAGTTAAATGTTTTTATGCGGTTCAAACTGATATCGTAACGACTATACCTACTCTTTATCAATCTATTTCTACTTACTTTAAAGCTTTTTTTTTCTAAAAAAACACATCGGTAGACACATAAAATTCACCAGAGTACTTTATCTATAACGTGAATCGTTTTAGTTCAAATTCATTCGTTGTTAAATTATTTTGAAAAATGATTGACCTTTTAAGCGAAAAACAGAGAATTGAATTTTAATTATTTATTAATTTAAGTGACTTATTTCCAGACCAGAGAATTAGTCGAGCTGCAATAAGTAAAGTATCAAAAAAGTTTGAACAAACCAGATTTACCTGAATCGGGAAGGCGAAGCACGGTAAGCGAAAATGACGATTAAAATGTGATGCTCGCCGTTACTGAAAATCCTCACTCAAAAATTAGATCTATCTCAGCCAACTTCAACTATAACTCTGAAGTCTCAAAAGTGTCATCCTTACAATGTTAACGTCTTACAAGAACTATGAGCAGCTGACACAGATAGAAGATTACAGTTTTGCGAGGAAATTTAGAAATTTATTTGAAAGACAACCCAACTTAAAAAATCACATAATTTTCACTGACGAAGCAAGTTTTTGCTTAAAGGGAACCGTGAACAGGCAAATTATTAGGTTTTGGAGCCCAGGAAATCCACATTGGATGCAAGAAAAACATACACAACTGCCGGAAAAAAATAAATGTGCTGGAATAGTAGGAAATCGCATACTGGGACCTTATTTCTTTGAGGTCAATTTGACAGGCGACATTTATTT